TTTCATTTGGTTTTTAAGTGATTACTACTACTATCTCTACTTTGGCTTCTTTTATTGTTCAATGTAGGGATGTCGGCGTAGCAGGCAACGACCGGGATTGCTGGTAGGTGCTCTCCAGCCGAGTGTAGGGTTGAGGCTCAGCAAAAACGATTTAAGTGATTCCCTCCCCAATTGTCCAGTTTCATTGGAAACTCAAACATCTGCTGTGGGGATGCATAGATACAGAACAAGAGCAGGTAAAGGTTTGAGGCTATTACCTGAAAAAGGAACACCTTAAGGCGACTTATTCGACTGCTAATTCTAGCCCGGCAGTTCGCGCTCGCCTGGCCAGATAAAGCGATTGTCGCCAAGCTCGGCGCGAGTCCTTGGCCACCCATGAGGCGACGCTACAACTCCAAAGCATTAAGCATGGCGTAACATAGAGACCTTAATAATTAGAAGGGCTTTGGGGCACATTGCAGTATAATTATGCAGGGGCCTAGGGCAGGGGCTTAGGGTTGTCGGTGCCCCAGATAGAGTTATAAGTATAGCTACCATACTGATAACCCTACCCCTGAACCTTCAAGTAATTGCTCAAAAACACTGCCTGCGCCTGCACCCATCCCTCTTAGTACAAAAAGCACAAGAGGGGGAGGGAAGGGGTCCTAAACCCGAAGCCCCAAACCCTAAACCCTAATCCGGCAGGTGCGGATCGGCAACTTAGGCTATCTGAAAGGTTAAGGGTTTAGGGCCTTAGTCAAAGGTTTTAGGGCTCTTAAGGCATTCGGCTCTCTGAATTGCCATACTAGGCCGCCATCGTATTTCATATGTGTGTACATATGTATATATATACATATATATATATATAGACATATATATATATATATATATAGATATGGTCACCTTTCTAGAATATGGTCTCTTTTCGGGGCCTTCTTATAAGGTGGCCCCTCTTATTTCGGGTGCCCAAAAAGAGAAACCATAATTTGGCGAAGTGATCCATCCTATGGTCACTTAGTTCAACTTCCTCAAGGGCAACCAAGCGTTAAACCCTAAACCCCAAACCCGAAACCCCAAACCCGAAACCCTAAACCCTAAACCCAAGACCCTAAACTTTCATGGGGGGGGGGGATCCTCTGCTCCAGTTCAAGACTTACGATTTTGAATCATAAGGACATCCAAGATCGAAAGCTCCAAAGCTCTAAGCCCTACTGCGTTTACCCCAGGTTAGGGTTTGGGGTTTAGGGTTTAAGGTTCAGGGTTCAGGGTTCAGGGTTCAGGGTTTAGGGTTTAGGGTTTAGGGTGTAGGGTTTAGGGCTTATAAGAGCTACCCCAGGTTACAGCACTCGGTGCTGCTGTGACTGCCTTTTCTGCGAGATTGCACTGCGCGCTCCGGAAGCTGCTCAGAGAAAGGTTTAGGGTTTAGGGCTTAGGGTCTAGGGTTTAGGGAAGGAATAAGCCTGAATTCTATCCTTCAATCCTTTACCTCCTTTGAAGTGCTCTGATCTATGTGCCCTTGTTCTGTAGATTTCTGTAGGGTATGTCAGGGGTCCCCTTTTAAGGGCCCATCTTAAGGGACCACCGTAAGCTTCATCGATGATCAGGACTCCTATATATTATATGTTCTCTGCTGAGGTATCTGGCTCCTTGGGTTCTCTGAACGCTGCTTGCTCACTGTAAAGTGGTGCAACAGGTGGCCCAATAGCGGGCAAGAGTTGAAAGCACGGGGAAGCTTCCGTTCTGCCTTCAGCATGAGGAAGCACCGTTCTTAAGGGGTAGAAGGAGGGAATCTTATTCCCCTCTATAACCCTTATATCTACCCTATAGTCCCTATATACCTCTGTAGCCCCTGAATAACCCCCCGAAGAACCCCTAAGATCCCTTATAAGCCTTATAAGGGTCCCTCCTTTAGTCCCTTGAGTGCAATTACGCACACAAGCCTACCAGTGCTTGGTAGGGAGTCAAGAAGACCCTTTGGGGCCCTCTGCAAGAGTCTTTGAGCTGTAGAAGGGGCTGTAAGCAAATCTCCTAAACCCAAAACCCCAAAACCCCAAACCCTAACCCTAAACCCTCAAATCTCCAGGAACATTGCCGGCAGCTCATCTTCAAAGGGGTCGTCTTGGACTTCTGAGCTCACCGAAGAGACTGACTTCCGGCGCCCCGACGGTTCACGACTCACCTTCCGCTTCTTCTTTGGAGGGCATCCTTGCGAGTCAGGGTTTAGGGTTTGGGGTTTAGGGTTTAGGGTTTAGGGTTTAGGGTTTCGGGTTTGGGGTTTCGGGTTTCGGGTTCAGAGGCAAAGGAGCGAAAAGGGCTACCGACTCAGCACCCAAGCATCCGTGGTAAGCGTTGTCCAAGCCCTGCAGTTCGTCTGTCGGATCAACTCTGAGGCCTGTCCGTGGGCTCTTCCAACACTCGCTCAAGAAGGAGCCGACCAGGAAGTAAAATGGAGTCCTCGGACTGGGTTCAGGGTTTAGGGTTTAGGGTTTAGGGCTTAGGGCTTAGGGTTCAGGGTTGAGGGTTTAGGGGCTTAGGGGCTTAGGGCGGTTTAAGGATGTTTAAGGTTCAAGGTTTAGGGGTTCAGGGGTTTAGGGGTTTAGGGGTTTAGGGGTTTAGGGGCTTAGGGGTTTAGGGGTTTAGGGGTTTAAGGGTTTAAGGGTTTTTTCCGCTTTGAGGCGCGGACGGGATCTGGCTGGCATCTTTTCGGGCACTGACTGACTGCTGACCCAGGGGTTACTTGGGCCTCGTAGACCACCACAAAAGCCTTTTGGCGGGGGCTGAAGGAAACGCTAAACCCTAAACCCTAAACCCTAAACCCTAAACCCTAAACCCTAAACCCTAAACCCTAAACCCTAAACCCTAAACCCTAAACCCCTGAATCTCAGCCGAGGGGCACAGTGAGGAGCGACCACGCCAGAATGGAAAGCACCATCAGCAGCTGCACGCTAAGTAGCTCCGCATCACCACCTCTGAAGAGACCGCTCTTCACCTCGTTTAGGTGTTTTTTGCTTCTTTTTTTTTGGGGGGCGGGGGGGGAGGGGGGGAGCGGGGGGGGGGTTAGGGGTTAGGGGTTAGGATTTAGGGTTTAGGGTTTAGGGTTTAGGGTTCAGGGTTTAGGTTTAGGGTTTCGGGTTTAGGGTTTAGGGTTTGGGGTTATGCGTTCAGGGTTCAGGGTTCAGGGTTTAGGGTTTAGGGTTTAGCGTTTAAGGTTTAGGGCTTGGAGGGTGCTGGTTTAGGACTCAGAGCACATCCTAAGCGCCAGGATGCGCACTGTTTCAAGCTTTAGGCATCCTACAGTGCATATACTTGGAGGTTCATGGGTAGTGATGAGTAGGGTTATATGCATGCTAGCTATACTTCTACATTCATTACCCATGAACCTCCAAGGAGCGTGCTTGCGGAATGGGTACACCCTAAGGGCTTGGGGTTTCGGGTCCCGTGCCTTGATCCCGGCCAGCGATTCATCAGCAAAAAGTCCTGGAGGGCGTTGCTTTGTTTGAGCGCAGCCAGCATGACAACGTGGGTTTAAGGACTCAATGCTTGAAGGGTTTAGGCTCTAGAGATGCCCCGGCCCAGGCCCCACCCACGCCTACTGCCAAAACACCCCACACGCCAGCTGCCCCGTGCACGCCAAGGGCGCCAACGGGGTCGTCGAGCCGCAGGCGCATCATCCTGGTTTGCTTACGGGATGTTGGCACTTGGAGGTTCATGGGAAGCAAAATGTAGGGTTATAAGTATGGCAATTGTACTCCTCACCCTACTTCGGGCACTCAAAATCCGACTTCTAACTACCCTTGATCCTCCAAGTAGAGAAGGGGCCTTAAGACGACACGACTCCATGCGGCCCTAGATACTCAAAGCCAACCCTGTGGATAGGTGTGGGCACCGTGCTTAAGGAAAATGAAGTGGACGGCCCCAGCTGCAACACGTGCCGTGTAATTCGGGTCGGGATGAGAGGAGAACTTTTTGGCCATGGGCTTCAACCTGCCAAGAACTGCTCACCTAACTACACCAGACACTCCAAGCTGAAGAGCCCCGAAGCATGAGCCAGCTACACAACACCAAGTCTCCAGTCGTTGGATATGTATATATGTATATATAGAGCACCCCGTTTTGTGGTAGCTTTCTAAGTCGTCGAATGCCAGGTCTCCAGTCGTTGGTTAGTAGGGCCAGCACGGCGCCCACGGCTCCGATGACGGGCGCCTCCGGGGGGTGGCAGCAGGCGCACCCGGCGGTGATCGACACCAACGATCCCAGGATGCCGTTGGCGACGTCATCCGCCAAGATGTATCTAATGCGTTGGGATGTTCCCCCTTATACTAACAGCTCCTTAAAAGGGATTCTAGTACCCCACTATAATCCCTTTGAAGGACTGTTATAATGTAAGCGGGAACATCCAACTAATGGGCTCTTGTTGCGAGGGAGTCTCTGAACAACTCGACTCCGCTCTGCCATGTGTAGAAGGCTGATATAAACTATAGTACTTTCACCACAGGCTGAACAAGGTACTCTTAAACTGTAGATGTATACATCTATATATACATATGTATAGAAAAACATATGCAACATACCATACACATGCAAATTGACTTTTGATTCGCACACCCACAAGAAGCTAAGGGCCCTTGTTTTTTGGCGACTGCTCCCCGAGTATGCCTGCCCTTGGTCTTGAGCTTGGTGTAGAGGAGTGCAGCGATGCCTTGGCTACTTCTGGTAACCACAAGGGTTTAGGGTTTAGAGTTTAGGGGTTTAGGTTCCCCTTTTTGGGGTTGGTTACTTCATAAAGCGAACTACCAACGAAAAAACGGGGTAAAGGTACCACTGGGTTGCCAAGATACCACCACCAAACGTTGCGTTGATGGTTGTCACCCCTGCACGGGTGGCCAGGACCCACTTCGAGCCGGTAATTCCGAAGGAGCTGCCGCAGTTGAAGCCAATCCAGCCCCACCACAGCATGAAAAGGCCAATCAAAATACCTTACTTCTCCACTGGTCAAGGAACTCCGACTTAAATGAGGAAGATCAGTAGTTGTTAAAGTTCATCCATGGCTTCGACGAGATGCTGGTAGGGGAGGAAGGCCTGAAGTCTTCAGCGGGCCTGGTGCCATCGAAGCGTCCATGGCGCGGTCCCAGCGCAAGAATCCCGATCAAGCCGTTGGCAGCGCCTAGTAAGTGCACTGGCCCACTCCCGGCGAAGTCATGGACGCCTAACTTCGCCAGCCAGCCGTTTTCAGACCACACCCAATGTGCCACAAAGGAGTAGATCAGCACAGCGTAGAAGGCGTACAGGCAATACACCACGAAGCGACAACGCATGGCAAGACATCCGCTGACAATGGTTGTGGAGGTTGCCGCAAAGCTGAAGTGAAACAGAAAGCCGCTGAACCACAGACCCGAGTCCACGGCGTCCTGTTTCGAAATATCCAGGATAAACTCGCCCAGTCCCATAAACGAGTTCGACGGAGCCCCATAGGAGATGCCATATCCCAGAAGATAATAGGCCAGGGCACCGAAGACCACGTCATAGACATTCTTGATGAGGATGTTTACTTCGTGGCCTTTCGTCGCAGATCCCATCTCCAGCATCGCGAAGCCACTTTGCATGGTCAGGATTACGAAGCTACTGGTGAGAACCCACGTGGCATCATCCGCAAGGTCGTCGTTCCGATCCGTCGTCCATTCCGATTCTGCCATGAAAACCCTAAACCCTGAACCTCTGAAGCCGTAACCCTTGAACCTCTGAAGCCCTAAACCCTAACCCACCCTGATACGGTTTGTAAAGTGTCGGGCTTAGGGCTTAGGGCTGTCTAGGGCGTCCTGAACATTTTTTTCGGCTCCTGGGTCGAGTCACCCTGCGGTTTAGGGTTTAGGGTTTAGGGTTTAGGGTTTAGGGTTTAGGGTTTAGGGTTTAGGGTTTAGGGTTTAGGGTTTAGGGTTTTAGGTGTGGGGTCCTGTTGAAAGCACCTCTTGCTCGGCCCCCTAATACAGGGGCCGGAATAGCTGCAAATGGTACCCTTATGGTCCCCGTGTGTCATACAAGAAAACCCAGAACCGTATTCAAATTTTGGAGGCCCCTACATCGGCTGTGGACCCTTGTCCAAGATTGGAGCCAGACTCATGCGGATGTGGGCCTAGACTGAGTTGCTGTTCAGGGTTTCGGGTACCCTATAATGACCTAATACCCGAATTCCCAAATGAACCGCCAAGTTTCCAAATAAGCCTTGTTCCCCTTCGCTACACCTACACTACCCTGCCCTTCAGTACTCTGCATGCCCGAAAATTAAAAAGCCCATACTCTCTAAGACCATGCCCAGAATCCGAAAATACCCGGCCGAAGAATACCCCCCAAACCCTAAACCCTAAACCCTAAACCCTAAACCCTAAACCCTAAACCCGAAACCCTAAACCCTAAACCCTAAACCCTAAACCCTAAACCCTAAACCCTAAACCCTAAACCCTAACCCAAAATGCGAATACCCCACACCCAAAGCCCTCTCCGACTCCAGGTCCGAGTTGCTGTGCCGCCTCTTCGCGTTCATCGCATGGTGCTGCGAGAGGCCTGGGACAGAGGTTCAGAGCATAGGAGGGGTTTAGGGTTTAGGGTTTAGGGTTTAGGGTTTAGGGTTTAGGGCTTAGGGTTTAGGGTTTAGGGTTTAGGGTTTAGGGTTTAGGGTTTAGGGTTTAGGGTTTAGGGTTTAGGGTTTCGCGTCTAGGGCTTAGGGTTTAGGGTTTAGGGTTTAGGGTTTAGGGTTTAGGGTTTAGGGTTTAGGGTTTAGGGTTTAGGGTTTAGGGTTTAGGGTTTAGGGTTTAGGGTTTGGGGTTTGGGGTTTAGGGGTTAGGGGTTAGGGGTTAGGGGTTAGGGGTTAGGGTTTTAGGATTTAGGGTTTTAGGGTCTTAGGGTTTTAGGGTTTGAGGGTTTAGGGTAAGGCTTAGGGCTTATAGAGGCATCACGTAGATGTTCGGTCTTGGCCTTAGGGATAAAGGGTGCAAAGCTTACCTGCTTGCATTGGTGCTAGTGTTGGGCCTGGGGCTCAGGGTTTCCGGTTGACCCAAAGAGCCCAATACACCTTAAAAAGGGTTTAGGGCTTGGGGTTTAGGCTTTAGGGCTTATTTAGGGCTCAGGGTTTAGGGTTGTAGGGTTTAGGCTTTAGGGTTTATTTAGGGCTCGGGGTTTAGGGTTGTAGGGCTTAGGGTTTAGGCAGCCCAATGCCTCCCTTAAAAAGGAAGAGACCTTAAGTTTTGCGGCATATTCCTTCATCGAGCGGTACTGGTCTCTTCGGGGAGTCCCCTTCATCCCATGTGATGGGCCAATCAGCTCACAGAAGCCCTTTCAGGTTTATAGGGGATGGGATTAGGGTCAGTAAGGTCCCTGCTAAAGAGAGCCAGAAGAGGGTTAAGAAGGGTTCCCTTTTGAGGGTCCCCCTTGTCCTACCTAGGAGTTTCGGGACAGTGAACATGAGCAATGTCGTGTACTAGCGCTAGGCTACCTAGGGACTCCAATACCCCTGAAGCTGGGAATATTCCTGAAATCAGGGTTTAGGGTTTAGGGTTTAGGGTTTAGGGTTTAGGGTTGAGGGTTGAGGGTTTAGGGTTTAGGGTTTAGGGTTCCTTGAATGGTTTAAGGAATACTCCACATTTGAAAAGTAATTATTGGAGCGTCTGGGATATCGACCTTCAAAGGCTGCTCTGGCCGGGAAGCCCTAAACCCTAAACCCTAAACCCAAAACCCTAAACCCTAAACCCTAAACCCTAAACCCTAAGCCGGCCAAGCCACTGAGAACCTCCTCTGCCGCTCTAGCGGCCGCCGTTGCAGCTGCGGCGCTTCTACGCGCCTGAGGTAGGGGTATCAGGAGCAGGCAAAGTGTACCACTCAGAGTAATGTAGGGGTGGGTTTTGGGGGTTTAGGGTTTAGGATTTAGGGTTAGTAATAAGTAGCATAAAGGAACCCTAAGGAATACTACTAGCAATTATTCCGACCCCGAGATTAGACTCTTAGGGTAGGACATCAGAACCCCTTAAAGGAGGTAAGGGACCATCGTAAGGGCCCATGAAAAGCTACCCGTAGATAGATTATCGAACTACTAAAGTCCATTCTTTATTGAAAGGGTTCTTGAAAGGGTTTTAGGGCTCACTGGCTTGAAAGCATGTCTGACCCTACTCATGACCATTCACGGAAATTTCCAAAGCAGAGGGCTTGCTTTGTGGATTCAAAGCTCAATACGGGCAGTCCTCTGAATCATGGTTTAGGGTTTCGGGTTTTGGTGATCTTATGATGATGCGTACCGCTCTCTGGTAACCCAAAAAGCCTTCAAGGGAACTAACACGATTGAGGGGCTAAACTTTGCAATGGTTTGGGGCTTGCTTGGAGGTACATGGTGGGTAGTGTAAGAAGGGTTAGAAGTATGGTAGCTATACTTATAAGGCACTTGTAACTTTTAACTCCAACTATAGCTACCTATGAACCTTAAAGTAGGGATTAGGCGTGAAAGTTAAGCAGGGTTCATTGGTTGAGGGTTTAGGTTGGGATGGCTCCCCTTATCCTAACAGCCCCTTAAAGGAGATTGTAGTAACCCCCCCCCCCCCCTATTATAATCCCTATTCAGGAGCTGTCAGTATAAACGGAACATCCCAAGTGTTTAGGGATTTAGGCATACCTGATATAGTCCCTATCTACCTGAGTAGCGCCCAAATAACCCCTACATAACCCCTAAGGTCCCTTATACGGGTCCCTCCGTTAGCCCCTTGAGGTTGAGGGTTTAGGGATTTAGGCCCTAAACCTTCAACCCTAAACCCTCAACCCTAAACCCTAAACCCTAAACCTAAACCCTAAAACCTAAACCCTAAACCCAAAACCCTAAACCCTAAACCAAACCCTGTAATTTTTGGGTGTAGACCTGGCCAAGGCACATGATATGCGGCTCGCTCTGCTCGAACCCGCTCCTGCTGCTTCGCACCCGTGGAACGCCCAACCCATTCCCCATACTCTGATAGCCCTTCAGTCGTTTAGGGTTTACGGTTTAGGGTTTTAGGGTTTAGGGTTTAGGGTTTAGGGTTTAGGGTTTAGGGTTTAGGGTTTAGGGTTTAGGGTTTAGGGTTTAGGGTTTAGGGTTTAGGGGTTAGGGGTTAGGGGGGTTTAGGGTTTAGGGGGGTTTACGGTTTAGGGGGGTTTAGGGTTTAGGGGGGTTTAGGGTTTAGGGGGGTTTAGGGTTTAGGGTTTAGCGTTTTGGGTTTAGGGTTTAGGGTTTAGGGTTTAGGGACGTCTCTGGTGCCCCTGAAGACCGCCCGGCCTCCTGGGTGAGAACAGCGGAGTTGGACACAATGTCTTGGGCCTTGGGTCGGAGGGATCGGGTTTAGGGTTTAGGGTCTAGGGTCTAGGGTCTAGGGTCTAGGGTCGAGGGTCTAGGGTTTAGGGCTTAGGGCTTAGGGCTTAGGGCTGAGGCCTGAGGGCTCAGGGCTTAGGGCTTAGGGCTGAGGGCTTAGGGCTTGGGGCTTAAAGCTTGTAGCGCCGGAAAACACAGACCCAAAGCCTAAGCCCTCCCTAACCCCCTCTACACCCTCAACCTTAACCCAGAAACCCTGAATCCCCCAAACCCGACACCCCTTAAACGCCCTCAACTCTAAACGAAATTCTGAACCCAAAGCCCCTCCCTAAACCCTAAACCCTAAACCTTCAACCCTAAACCCTAAACCCTAAAATTAGAGGGGGGGTTAGTAGGGGAACCCATGAAGCTCCCGAACAGGCCGGGCCCCCAAGCCCAGTGGTGCGAGTCCACCGTGCTGGACTTCGTGGCCGCGAAGGCCGGCCTGAAGCGTTTCGGGATGTAGGGTTTAGGGTTTAGGGATTGAGGGGTTAGGGGTTGAGGGTTTAGGGATTGTGGGGTTAGGGTTTCGGGATTTCGGGTTTAGGCATTTCGGGTTTGGGGATTCAATGCTTCGGAATTGACGCGTTAGGGTTTAGGGATGTCGGATTTAGGGGATTTAGGGATGTAGGACTTGCCACGGAAGCCCCTCCCCACGCCCCCCCCCCCCCCCCCTCGCCCCTAAACCCTAAACCCTAAACCCTAAACCCCCCTTCGCCCCTCCTGCAGAGGTGAAGCAGGAAGATCACATGGAGAAGGTCTGGCCTCGGTCTCGGGTTGCTAAACCCTACTTGGAGGGGCTTTAGGGTTTAGGTTTTAGGGTGTATTTCTTAGGGTTTAGGGTTTAGGGTTTAGGGTTTAGGGTTTAGGGTTTAGGGTTTAGGGTTTAGGGTTTAGGGTTTAGGGTTTAGGGTTTAGGGCTTTATATATGTAGTTGCCATGCAGGAGCTTTTGATGTCACAGGGTTCAGGGGTTTAGGGGTTTAAGCGCCCATAACTTCCCTCACACACTCTATCTATACATATATATATATATATATACAGTATGTATATATATATATATACATAGTGTGTATATATATAGTGTGTATATAGTGAGATATATAAGTGATAAATAAATAAATAAATAAATAAATAAATACATAAATAAATAAATAAATAAATAAATAAATAAATAAATAATATATATATATACATATATATATATACCCAAAGCCACCCCCCCCCCCCCCCCCCCCCGAAAGGGATATCCTTATGTTTAGTAGCCGCCACCCTACCCTAAACCCTAAACCCTAAACCCTAATGAGATGGCTGAATGAAATGCCGCGGGGCATGCCAGACACAAAGGCAGTTCGGTACCCTCGCAGCGGCCCGGGAAGGGGTTTTCCCGGTAGGGCCACATGGCTGCGGGTTTAGGGTTTAGGGTTTAGGGTTTAGGGTTTAGGGTTTAGGGTTTAGGGTTTAGGGTCTAGGGTTTAGGGTGGGGGCTTATGAGTTTTTGCCGGCTAGGGCCTTGCACGACTAAGGGTTTAGGGTGTATTGTGTTGGGTGGTCAGGCTTAGGGTGCGGGAATCAGACAGCCGGGGCCCCCTGCGGAAATTGGACTTTGTGGGCCCTAAAACCTCTAAAACCCCCAAAACCCTCTAAAGACTCCAAAACCCCTAAAGCGTCTCAAGTGGCTTATGGAGCTGAGGTCTGCTACACCCTAAACCCTAACCCCCGAAACACCCAAGCCCTTCAGTGCATTGCTGTGCATTTCTGGGCAGGCTTTTAGAGTCTTCGGGTCAAAGTGCTAGGCTTTGGGGTTCAGGCTGTAGGGTTTAGGGTCTCGAGCTCACAGGGCTTACATCCCCGACCGCATCGCTGCAGGTTGGTCTTCAGGGTTTCATGGCTTGAGGGCTTCAGGGTGAAGCCCTCAGTATGGCTGTGAATGCCATTATGGCTTAGACGATGGTTCTTAGTATGGTCACTATGGCTAAGCTTGTAGTTATCATGATGGCTACTGTGGTTACTATTATGGTCCCCACTCATTCTGGTTACTATGGGTTTAGGTTTCGGGAATTTCGGGAGGCTGCAGGCTGAAGATCCTAGCAGCCGATGGCTTCGCTATTTTGGAGGTTTCCCGGGGGGGGGGGGGGGGGGGAAGGGTTAAGGCTTAAGGGAGTTTAGGGTTTAGGGTTTAGGGTTTAGGGTTTAGGGTTTAGGGTTTAGGGTTTAGGGTTTAGGGTTTAGGGTTTAGGGTTTAGGGGTTGGGGCTTGATTGGAATTCTATAGGGGATTAAGGGTAATTTCTGGGGCTTGAGGGCTTCAGGGCTTGAGAGTTTTCTAGGGCGTCTCGCAACAAAACAGACATGGCTTCTTAAGTTGGGTGATGCGGCCAAGGGTCGCTATTCCTTGGGGACCAGATGAACCCTAAACCCTAAATCCTAAGCCCTATAAGGGTTTTATGGTTCATAGACCTTAATGGGACTTCTCGTAGTATAGGGTATACGACCCCCATCTTAGGGTTCATTGAGTCCTTCCGGGGTAAACCCTAAACCCTTAACCCTTAACCCTAAACACCTTTCTTAAGGACTTCGAGGCCCTTAGAGGCCCTGCCCTTGCAAAAGGCCCTCAACCCTCAACCCCAAACCCCAAACCCTGAAGCCTAAACCCTAGCCCTAAACCCTAAACCCTAAACCCTAAACCCTAAACCCTCAACCCTAAACCCTAAACCCTAAACCCCAGGAGCCCCTTTGTGCACTGTGTGTTTGGGAAGTTGCGACGCCACAGAGCAGCACCGAAGGCCTAAGGCCTAAGTCCAAAGAAGCAACGCGGATAGCTCGGCCTAGCACCGAGAAGCCTTGGGGCGTGAAGGGGTTTAGGGTTTAGGGTTTAGGGTTTAGGGTTTAGGGTTTAGGGTTTAGGGTTTAGGGTTTAGGGTTTAGGGTTTAGGGTTTAGGGTTTCGGGTTTCGGGTTTCGGGTTTCGGGTTTAGGGCTTCGGGCCTTTAGAACAAGCACATGCCTTGGGCACGGCAGGAAAACCGAAGGTCCCTCTGCGGGCTGACAAAAAAATTGCGACTCACAGCTCCACCCCGCACAATTGAGGCAGGCTTAGCCTGGGTTGGCCATTAAACGCCCTGAAGAATAGTGGAATGTTGGGTTTAGGGTTTAGGGTTCAGGGTTTAGGGTCTAGGGTTTAGGTATATATATATGCTTATATATATGTATTTAGGGCCCCCAGAAAAAAATAAATGAGGAAAATATAAGATGTCCCAAAGTCCGACCTGGCAGCTCGCTGCTTTCATCGGTATTGTCGAGGATGTCACCCACCTCGATTGCCCAGGATTTCGGGTTCAGGATTTTAGGGCTTTGGGTTTGGGGTGGCAGGATTCCTGGAACCGCTGTTTCGACAGGGAAAATTGGATTCGTCAGTGAGGTAGACGGGACCTCACTTGATACTGTAGAGTGGGTCATCAGTGACATGAGCGTTGGAAGGGATTCGAACGGATTGGGAAACATCTTAAAATCAAACCCCACCTCGATGGCAGGAACGGACTCTTCAGCCACCGCTTTCTTCTTCTTTTTGGCAGGGCATCCATGGTAAACCTGGTCCAAGCCGATCAGTTCGACTGCTGGATCAATTCGCAATCCACGTCGAGGTCTTCGACAATCTCCACCGACCGCCCAGCCAACCAGCAAGAAGAAGGGCATCCTCATCTGTTGAGGGTTAAGGATTTTGTGGTCAAGAAGAAGGATAAAGAAGCGATACAGTAGGCAAGCCTCCTTGTAGCTAACGTGTTGAAATCTTAGAACGAGAACATGGGCACGAGAACGTACCGCAGGCACAGCGAACAACTTGACGCACTTGCAATTCACAGGAAGTCAGCCGAAGGTCACTGTAAGGAGTGACCAGCCAAGAATGGCAAGAACTAAGAGCAGCTGCACACCCAGAAGCTGCGCGGAACCTGATCGGAATAGGCCGCTGGCCACCTGACTGAGCGAATCCTAAACCCTAAAGGCTTGTGGACGTTAGGGTTGGTGTGCTGAATTGTGCTTACTATAGCTATTATGGTCAAAAATAGCTACTATGGCACCCTAAACCCTAAACCCTAAACCCTAAACCCTAAACCCTAAACCCTAAACTCCTAAAACCTAAACTCCTAAACCCTAGCCTCCTAAACCCTAAACCCTAAACCCTAAACCCTAAACCCTAAACCCTAAGCCCTAAACCCTAAACCCTAAACCCTAAACCCTAGGGCTATGATGGTTGTCACGGTAACTACGTGTGGCCATTCTCCCCGGTCTGGCATGTGCGGTCCCAAGGCCTATCCCCACCGCAGACCGCCTAGCCTGCGTAGGCTTAGGGTTTAGGGTTTAGGGTTTAGGGTTTAGGGTTTAGGGCTTAGGGTTTAGGGTTTAGGGTTTAGGGTTTAGGGCTTAGGGTTTAGGGTTTAGGGTTTAGGGTTTAGGGTTTGGGGTTTAGGGTATAAGGTTTAGGGTTTAGGATGTTAGGGTTTAGGAGTTTAGGGTTTAGGAGGTTAGGGTTTAGGGTTTAGGGTTTAGGGTTTAGGGTTTAGGGTTTAGGGTTTAGGGTTTAGGGTTTAGGGTTTAGGGTTTAGGGTTTAGGGTGTAGGGCGGGTTTAGGGTTTAGGGTTGAGGGTTGAGGGTTTAAGTCACCGAACAAAAATCCCCAAAAAGGTAGCCTCAGTTAGGGGGAACCCAAACTCTCAACCCTCAACCCTCAACACAATTACGGGTTTAGGGTTTAGGGTTGAGGCTTGAAGCCCTGGGAAAAAGGATCCTTTGTTGAATCCGGCCTCGATGCCCTTTAGGGTTCCGTCCGCGAAGAGACCTTGGCACTTTGGGGTTTAGGGGTTAGGGTTTAGGGTTTAGAGTTTAGGAAGGAGGGTTGCAAGTAATTATGGCTTTTAGCTACCCATGGATCTTCAAGTAGGGTTTAGGACCTACACGACCGGCCTACCGCAACGATGCCCCACACCGCGGCCACACCGTGAACGCCCATCGCACCGACCGGGTCGTCGATTTTCATCCGTTGGATCCTGACTTTCCAGGGCATCGAGTGGGTTCTGCAGCTTGGGGGTTCGAGGTCTGAAGGGTTTAGGGCTTCAGCGCCGTAGGGTTTTTGGGGCTTTGGGGTTTAGGGCTTGCTGTAGGGGACTGGTTGGCTCGGAACTGGAGTCCCACAGCTTATGCGAAGTAGGGTTTGTTATCCTAGTATCCCCAAACGGACCGATCACTCACGAACAGGTTGCTCAGGAGCCCCCAAGGTTTTGGGGATTGGTGCAACGTTCGTACCCTCATAGGCTCTTTCATGACATGGACTCCGACACGGACAACACCTGCTAGCCCTAGCAACTACACACAAAATGTATACAAATAAAGGAATAAATAAATAAATACGTATATATATATATATATACGTTCTTAAACAAAGGGCGCCCGTTTTGGGGGTTGCTGTCTACGTCATGGTATGCCCAGGTCTCCAGTCGTTGCTCAGCAAGGCCAGGAGGGCGCCTACGGCCCCGATGAGGGGCGCCTCCGGGGGGTGGCAGCAGGCGCACCCGGCGGTGATCGCTACGAGGGAGCCCAGGATGCCGTTGGCCACGTGGTCCGGCGTGACCTGCCTCTTATAAGGATGTCTAAGGGCCGTTACATGGCTCCTTAGTATATGGGCCCTTAAAAGGGTACCCTTTACATAATCCCTTGTATATCCTATACACATTAAGGGCCCATACATCAGAATTTCTTTAAAGGAGGCTAGGGACCAAAAATTCAGGGCCCATGAAACTGCCCTCAGAGCGTTAGGGGTTTTAGGGGTCCCATGGTCCCATCCTGCCTCCCATTCGACTTCGCCTTAGTGTAGAGCAAGGCAGTCAACCCTCCTCCAAATGTTGCGTTGATGGTCGTCACTCCTGCACGCGTGGCCACGACCCACTTGGAGCCGGTGATTCCAAAGGAGCTGCCACAGTTGAAGCCAATCCAGCCCCACCACAGCATGAAAAGGCCAATCAAGATACTGGTAGGGGAGGAAGGTCTGAAGTCTTCGGCTGGCCTGGTGCCATCGAAGCGTCCATGTCGTGGCCCCAATGCCAAAACCCCGATGAGACCGTTGGTGGCACCTAGCAAGTGCACTGGCCCACTTCCGGCGAAGTCATGGACGCCTAACTTCGCCAGCCAGCCATGTTCAGACCACACCCAATGTGCCACGAAGGCATATACCAGCACCGCGTAGAAAGCGTACAGGCAATACACCACGAAGCGACAACGCATGGCAAGACATCCGCTCACAATAGTTGTGGAGGTCGCTGCAAAACTGAACTGGAAGATGAAGCTGCTGAATACGAGCCCATGTCTTATGTCGTCGGTATTGGAGACATCCATTAGGAAATCACCCAAGCCCATAAATGAATTTGATGGAGATCCGTAAGAGATGCCATATCCCAACAAGTAGTAGGCCAGAGCGCCACACACTACATCGTAGACGTTCTTGATGAGGATGTTTACCTCGTTTCCTTTGGCAGCTGCACCCATCTCCAGCATCGCGAACCCACTTTGCATGGTCAGGATCACGAAGCTGCTGGTGAGAACCTAGACTCAGGAGTAACCTAGGAATAAACAGGATGCCCTCTTTTGGTTTCAAGGGGGCTGTAAGGGAACCCCAACCCTAAGCAAAGGAAATGAGAGCCTACTCCGGTCCTTGTAGCCCTAAACCCTAAACCCTAAACCCTAAACCCTAAACCCTAAACCCTAAACCCTAAACCCTAAACCCTAAACCCTAAACCCTAAAAGTAAGGAAGCAAGAGCCTACTCTGGGTCCTAGAAACCCACGTGGCATCATCCGCATGGTCGTCATTCAGTTCCGCCAGCCACTCTGCGTCCCCCATGTGCGGCGCGGAAGTCGACATCTAAAAAAAGCAAGAGAGCCCCAATGATACTCTGCGTATAATTGGGATAACCCCTATAATTTAGGGTTTAGGGTTTAGGGTTTAGGGTTTAGGGTTTAGGGTTTAGGGTTTCGCGTCTAGGGCTTAGGGTTTAGGGTTTAGGGTTTAGGGAGGCCCTTTCAGGCCCTTCAGGGGTATTATAAGTAGGGTTCTGAGTACAGTTCGAATTGGCTAGCAAGTACCATGAACCTCCAAGTACCGAAAGAGCCCAATACCCTTTAATGAAGGAATATTCCTGAAATCATACTGAGGATCCCTATATGGTTTAAGGAATATTGCTTAATAAAGGGGTTTTGGGGCTCTCTGGGTACGCCTGCACGGTAAGATGCAAGCAGCCTTAGATCCTCAACCCCAAACCCCAAAACTCGAAACCCTAAACCCTAAACCCCTATCCCATTTGAAGTACACTCGGCTCCTCGTGCTGGAGCACAAAATGGCCAAAGCCAAGCACATGCAGATGCTGCACCCGAGAAGGCCATCAACAAAGTTTCGAGAAACTCATGGTTGAGGGCGTAGGATACGCGACACCCAAACCCGTACTTGGAGGTTCATTGGTTATGATAAGCAGGGTTCTGAGCACTCTAATGAAGGCTATAAGCTTAGCTACTATACTGATAGCCCTAGTCAGAACTACCCATGAACCTCCAAGAACTCCCTAATCAGACCCAAAAAGCCCTTCTACTCCTTCATTGCGGGGCATTAGGGTCCATAGCATCAAGGGTTGCAGCTCCAGGTAGTGGGATTTCGGATTCAAAGCTCAGGGTTTAAGGCTTGGCTTTAGGATGAACAGCTTGGGGTGTAGGCTTCGGGCGAAGGTTGAGGGCTTCAGGGTTTCAGAGTTTAAGGGTGTGCAGGGAGCAGAGCTCACGGGCTTCAGGTACCTTCCCGAACGAAGGCCCCGGCATTCCACCTTCAGGGTCTAGGAACCCTACACCCTAGACCCTAAACCCTAAACCCTAAACCGCTTAAACCGCTTAAGCCGCTAAACCGCTTAAGCCGCTTAAACCCTAAGCCCTAAACCCGAAACCCGAAACCCTAAACCCTAAACCCTAAGCCTAAACAACCCGCTACTGCATGGCTTTCCATTCATGGGCACACCTCCTTCCGAGCTTTCGGCAGCAAACCCCAATTTAGACTTAGACCAGCCCCTGCATCCCTAGCAGACCCACAAACTCAAGGAACTAGCCACGGTGAACCTCCAAACCCTACACCCTACACCCTAAACCCCAAACCCTAAACCCTAAACCCTGAACCCTAAACCCTGAACCACTGAAACCTTCGAAGACCTTCAGGTCGATCCAGGTGGCCAGGGCAACGCGCGAGTTGCTTAGGGTTAGGGTTTAGGGTTTAGGGTTTGGGGTTTAGGGTTTAGGGTTCGGGGTTTAGGGTTTGGGGTTCATAGTACTTATTAACCAGTTATGACTGTACTTAGTTTAGGGTTTAAGGTTTAGGGTTTGGGGTTAAGGGTTTAGGGTTTCGGGTTATAACTGTACTTACAAACATACTAGCGCACTTAGGAGGCTGCTAAGTGGGCTACAAGTACAGCTGTTTAATATGTACCAGGAACCTCCAAGGAATCTTTCAACATAACCCCAAACCCCTAAACCCTGAACCCTAAACCCTAAACCCTAAACCTAAAATACCCCTCAACCTATAAAAGGATCATAGAAGGAAGGACTGTACCATGCCCCTAAATGTCTTTTAAGGGTTTAGGGCTTAGGGTTTAGGGTTAAGGGTTTAGGGTTTAGGGTTTAGGGTTTAGGGTTTAGGGGTATGTGGAATATTTCTTAGATTTTAAGTTTAGTGCTAAGGGTCTGGGAGAACACACACACACACACAAACACACGCCTTGCACACCACCGATAGCTTGCAACTCTGTGTCGGCTTAGGTAACCCTAGCAACCCTCCTGTTCTGCACCACATTCACGCAACCCCCCCCCCCCCCCAATGTTTCTTCATCCCTTCTGCCGTGGTTTATGGTGGATGTCTGGTTTTGGATTTAGTGTTTCTCCCCTCCGCACCCCTTGGTGGTCCGTGGTTCATGGTGGTTTTAAGGTTAAAAGTCTAGGGTTTCGGGTTAGGCTTTAGGGTTGAGGTTTCGCGTTTAAGGTTCAGGGTTTATGGTTAAGGTTGGGTCGAGGGTTTAGGCTCAGCGTTTAGGGTTCCCCTCTCTCCACTGTGGCTGAGGGTGGGTCTTGGCTTTAGAGTCAAGATTGAGGGTTGAGGGGCGAGAACGCGGAGCGCGGACGCATGCCAAACAAATCAAGAAAGAGCATCTCTTTGTCACGGGGAGTTATAAGTAGGGTTTCCATACCACTAACCCTACTTCTTGGCACTTATGACCCTGCTTATAACCACCCATGAAACCCCCCAAGTACTGCAAATCAAGAACAACCCTAGACCCCAAACCCTAAACCCGAAACCGTAAACCCTAAACCCTAAACCTAATTAGTTCATGGTCGAGATCGAATTAAATATGTAAAGTGATATTCCTTACTGGGTTTAAGTACCTTCAAAAGGTAAAACCTTACCCAACTATGATCAAGAAACCCTAAACCCTAAACCCTAAACCCTAAACCCTAAACCCTAAACCCTAAACCCTAAACCCTAAACCCCGAAACCCTAAACCCTAAACTCCTCTTTCGAGTGCCAGCTTCGCACCCGAGATGCGACGCTTCGGGGTCTTGTGCCTCGCTTGGTGCAGCGTGAAACTCAAAGTGCTGGACCAGAAACATCCGGTTCGAAAATCGAGGTAGGGTTTAGGGTTTAGGGTTTAGGGTTTAGGGTTTAGGGTTTAGGGTTTAGGGTTTAGGGTTTAGGGTTTAGGGTTTAGGGTTTAGGGTTTAGGGTTTAGGGTTTAGGGTTTAGCGTTTAGGGTTTAGGATTTAGGGTTTAGGGTTTAGGGTTTAGGGTTTAGGGTTTAGGACTTAGGGTTCAGGGTTCAGGGTTCAGGGTTCAGGGTTCAGGGTTCAGGGTTCAGGGTTCAGGGTTCAGGGCCAAGAGTTGGCGTTGAGGGCTCCCTAAGCCCTCAACCCTTCGGTTTTGCGGTGCACGGTGTACGGCCTACTTGGGGGTTCATGGTACTTACGAACCAATTAGAACTGTACTTAGAACTGTGCTTATCACCATATTGGGGCACTTAGAGGCTTATGAGTGGGTTATAAGTACAGTTGTAATTGGCTAATATGTACCATGAACCTCCAAGTACAGGGCGAAGGCTTGCGGCGAGCAGTCTCATTCGCCCGCAGGCTCCCCCCGGCGGCGGACGGCAGAAATGATGTGCCTCAAGGTTTAGGGTTGAGGGTTGGGGGTTTGGGTTGAGGGTTCGGGGTGTGCGGTTTAGGAGGCTGGGGAGGACGGGGGAGAACAATATCCTTATGGAAGAAGCCTCCATATTTTGGCTTGAACCCTAAATCCTAAACCCCAAAACCCTAAACCCTGAACTGGAATCCAAACATTGAAGGCGGGCTGGGCCAAAGAGCATGCGACTGCAGAAAAGGGTTAAAAATTAGGGCTTAGGGTTTGGGGTTTGGGGTTTAGGTGTTCGCTTTTCATACTAACTGCACGTGTCCTTGGGAAAAGGGGGCACCACTACGAGTGGGTGATTCCCGACAGCCAGGTGGGGGGGCGTTGGTGGTGGAATTCCGATATCGATCCCCACGATCACCCACGACTGTCTTCCTGAGCACACACCTGCCTTGAGCAGATCATGTCTCTTCGTAAAGGGGGCAGGGTTTAGGGCTTAGGGCTTAGGGCTGAGGGCTGAGGGTTTAGGGTTTAGGGTTCAGGGGTTTAGGGTTCAGGGGTTTAGGGTTCAGGGGTTTAGGGTTCAGGGGTTCAGGGTTTCGGGTTTAGGGTTTAGGGTTTAGGGTTTTGGGAACCCGAAGTCCTACTGGAGCAACCAATGACAGACACACTTAAACTCATGTTTAGGATTCAGGGTCTGGGGTTTTGGGGTTTTGGGGTGTAGGCTTAGCCTTCACTTAGGTAGGTTTGGGGGGGGGGGGGGGGGGGGGGGGGGGGGGGCCCCTCCATAAAGCCCTGTTATAGCTTTATAAGGATTATATAGGGGGATTGAGGGTAAAGAAATGTTGTGAAAACACAAAAAGGCAAACTTTCCCCTGCTCAGATCTTCGGCCGAAGCACCACTTGCCTGGCAGCCAATCCGGAAGGTACCTGAAGTTACGTCATGTAGGGGCCTGAAGAATCTTTTTTTTTGGATGGGGGGGGGGGGGGGTATTCTACAATAATCATAAAGGGAGTATAAGGGAATACTACAAGTAATTATTGGGGGGTTATTATAGTACAATTATGCAGGGATTATAAGGGAATACTACTACGTAGTAGTTAGTCCGAACCCCATATTAGGCTTCGCGGATCAAGTCGGACGCTTCGCCGGCTGACTGCGGCTAAACTCCAGGCACTAAACCCTCAACACCTGGGTTTAGGGTTTAGGGTTTAGGGTTTATGGTTCAGGGTTTAGGGTTTAGGGTAACTTCGTTGGGTTTTTAGGCGGGGCTTGTGAGCTCTGGTAAACTTAGGGCTTGGGAGCTGTAGCATTTGGGAGTTTACGAATAGACCCCCACCCAAGTCGCGGGATTCCCGTTTAATGAGGACACAAAAAGGCACCCCCAATTTCGGAAACCCTATTAAATAACTCTGACCCCTAAACCCCTAAACCCCTAAACCCCTACACCCCTAAACCCCTAAACCCCTAAACCCCTAAACCCCTAAACCCCTAAAACCCCTAAACCCCTAAACCCCTAAACCCCTAAACCCCTAAACCCCTAAACCCCTAAACCCCTAAACCCCTAAACCCCTAACCCCTGAACCCCTAAACCCCTAAACCCCTAAACCCCCCTAAACCCCTAAACCCTCAGCCCTAAACCCCAAACCCTCAGCCCTAAACCCTAAACCCTAAATCCTAAATCCTAAACCCTAAACCCTAAACCCTAAACCAAGCCACCGGGTCATGCTCCAAAGGAGACCGTTCGAGGCTCTCAGGAAAGCCTGGCAGCACCAGCGGCGGGACCGAACCAGGGGTGTAGGGTTTAGGGTTTAGGGTTTAGGGTTTAGGGTTTAGGGTTTAGGGTTCTGGGTTCTGGGCTTAGGGTTTCAGGGTGTAGGAAGCTTTTTGAATCCGATCAGGGCTACGGATGCGTGATTCTGACCCTCCTGGGTTGAGGTTGGGGGATGTCGGGGTTAGGACATCGACTTGGGGTTTAGGGTTTAGGGTTTAGGGTTGAGGGTTTAGGGTTTTGGGTGTTGGGTTTTGGGTTTGGGGTGGCCTCTCCACCCATTGTGCCCAACATCAGCGCGCTGGCCGCCAGAACGCCGACGCCCGCGGCGCAGAGGATCGTGCCTGGGAAGTCTGCTGCAAGCAGCAGCGGTCTGGCCCTGAGAAGGGGACCCCTTATATACCCTATACAAACTAAGGGCCCATACTTCAGAACCCTTTAAAGTAGGTGAGGGACCATATGAAACTACCCTTGAAAGCGGGGGTACCCAAGGCTACTATAAACGAAGGACGGCTTCCGGGCCCCTTGTGCATAGACTCTCACCCCCTCTTCAAACCCTTATGGCACCGAAAGCCCTCACAAACCTCCGAGCCCTTACTCGACACTTTTATGCCGGCTTAGATCCGTTATTAAACCTGCTTAAGTCCCCTTCAAGCCTGTTTAGATCCCTTTGACACCCGTTGTGAACACCCCCGGTTTTTAACCGATCTAATCCCGTTGTAAACCCTTAACCCTAAACCCTGCCCAACACCCTTAATCTTCCCGCCTCTCAACCCCAAACCCTAAATCCAAAACCCTAAGCCCCCGAAACCCCAAAACCCTCAACCCCAAACCCAAAACAACAAACCCTAAGCCCCAAACCCTACACCCCAAACCCTAAACCCCAAACCCTAAACCGGCCTCCCTGTCCCGCGAGGAACTTCGTCACCCAGGGCTCGGCGCGCTCCATGCGCTCGCAGCGCTCCTAGAGGCTTCAGGGGCTTCAGGGTTTAGGGTTTAGGGCTAGGGTTTAGGGTTTAGGGTTTAGGGTTTAGGGTTTGGGGTTTAGGGTTTAGGGTTTAGGGTTTAGGGTTTAGGGTTTAGGGTTTAGGGTTTAGGGTTTAGGGTTTAGGGTTTAGGGTTTAGGGTTAGGGTTTAGGGCTTCAGGGGTTTCAGGACTTCTGGGCTTCTGGGGTTTCAGGGTTTCAAGGCGTCAGGTCCTTCAGCGCTTCAGGGGTTTCAGGGTTTTAGGGCTTCAGGGTTTCGGGTTTAGGGTTTAGGGCTTAGAGTTTAGGTTTAGGGCTTCAGAGTTTCAGAGTGGAAGCTTTAGGGTTGCTAGGGTGTAGTATTCAGGCTCATAGGGCTGTAGGACTTAGGGTTTTTGAGTTTTTGGGCCTGAGCGGGGGTTTAGGGTCCTACTGTTGATAGACGAAATCTAGCATCACTCTTCTACGACAGGCCATCCCATCCAAACCTATTGGTTTCCCAAAACTGGCACGAAAGGCATGTCCGTGAATGACCTAGGGTTTAGGGTTTAGGGTTTAGGGTTTAGGGTTTAGGGTTTAGGGTATAGGGTATAGGGTTTAGGGTTTAGGGTTTAGGGTTTAGGGTTTAGGGTGCAGGGTTTCGGGCTGCCATCCGTGCCATCAACATTGAAATGAGCGATGGGAGTGCGCCAGTTGTAACGCGCCATGCACTGCTTGTAATGGGCCATGCACGATTATGTCCATCTACTGTAGGGCACACAGGGCCCTAACCCCAAACCCTGAACCTTAGACCCGACCTGAACTTCAACAGTCAACCCCCGGTACGAATACAGAACCTGCGAATACCATCTGCCGGGTTAGCCCAGCTGGGGAGCCAAATGTGCCTCAAGTACAGATGTGTGTGTTTAGGGTTCAGGGTTAAGGCTAAATACCGCCCCAATACCACGTGCTTGCGGAGTAGACCTGACTGCATCAGGGCCTCCATATAGTTCTCAAGGTTCATATCTTAAGCGCTCTGGCTACTTACCAGCAGAGCGAAAGTGCATGCCAGGACTCGAACGCTTCTTTTCGCCTGTTCAAGGCAAGCTGCTACCTATAGGCATCCGATGCAAGGCCTCTCTTTTGCCTAAGTTTCGCGTTTTAAGTTGGGGTCGACTTAGATTATGAGCCTTTTTGGCAAAGCGATCTAAAGCCCTAAAACCCTAAACCCTCGAAGTGGCCTCACATAGTCAGGCCCTCAGGACAGGGGGCTTTTAAAAAGGCAATCTCCCTCCCCCAAATTGCCCAATACCCCTTCAAGAAGATGACCTGAAACCAGATACGAATACAGGGGGCGCTTATTCTGAACGTCAGGTCTATTCCTTACTTCGGGATGTTGGGTTGATGGGGCTCTGTGGGTATTCCCCAACTAGACCAGCGGAGCCCCCTAAACTCTCAACCAGCCCTCCGGTTCGACAGGAAATGGGGCTTGCTAACACGGGCCTTGGCATTTAGGGTGCAGGGTCTAGGGGGAACATCTTTAAGAAGGGAGACTTACCTTACAAGGGCACTAACAGGCTGCATGAAGGTTTTATGAAGGGTGTATTGGGAGGTTAAGGGTTGAGGGTTAAGGGTTGAGGGTTTAGGGTTTAGGGTTTAGGGGTTCAGGGTTTAGGGTTTAAGGTTTAGGGTGTGGGGTTTAGGGTTTAGGGTTTAGGGTTTAGGGTTTAGGGGTTGGGGTCTGAGGTTTAGGGCTGAGGGTTTAAGAGGCCTGTTAAAGGCGTGCTTAGTAAATCACGGAGGGGCTGCCTCAGCTGCAGGTCGTACATCCGCCGGAGACCAACATGCAGAAGAGTGTTGTGCGCCTCGTGAGCACATTGGACCCACCACACCCCCATTTTAGAGTTTAGGGTTTAGGGTTTAGGGTTTAGGGTTTAGGGTTTAGGGTTTAGGGTTCCTTCAACCACGTTGAAGCATGTTTGAGAATCCCGGCACCAGGCTTTTGGTCATCTAGTCAGAATCTAGTCGGGATCTTCATAGGGGGCTCTCTTACAGATCCTACAATCATGGGTTCCCCTACTACCCGCCCCTCTAGACTACCCTCCCTAAGTTCCCCCTTTAAATAACCTTAATTAGGCTTCATTATTCCGACATAGCCCTAATTAGGGGGGGAACCAGGGGGGGGGGGGGGGGTAGTATAGCTGGAACCCATGAAACAACTTGCTGTGGCAACAGTTTAGGGCGAATGACCCAAGCCGAGGCTCAGAATCTACAAGGCTTCCGTAAAAAAAAACCCGAAACCCTAAACCCTAAACCCTAAACCGAAGAGCCCGAATCGCTAAGGACGTTTGGTCCCCGGAGGGCTCGAATGGCTAGGAACATTTGGTCCCGAGAGGGGCCGAACGGCTAAGAACCTTTACATATACATATGGGGGTTTCCGACAATAGGGGTAATAGGGGTACCCTTTTTGGGGGTCCCTTTTAGGGGATTCTATTCTATTTGGGTAGAAAAGGGGTGCCCCATATTCTGAAAATGCCCTAATATGACAGAGAGGGTTTAGCAAGTGTCTATTAGGAGCCAAGCCCCACTTTGGAGAAGACCCCAGAAAAAAGTATATACTTTTCAGGTATAAGTAGATATACTAGGAACCCAGAACCAAATAAATGTTATGGTACTCCAAAACCCAGACACCAAGACCCTAAACCCTGAACCCTAACCCCAAACCCCTAACCCTAAACCCCAAACCCTAAACCCTAAACCCTAGCTCTCCGGGGCCCATAAGTTCCGCAGGCCAGGCTGCGTGGTTGATCTTCTGAAACCGCTCCTCCGCTGCAGCATCCCTGTAGCTGATGGTGTCAGGATGGCATTCCTGGCCACGTGGAGGTTTAGGGTTTAGGGTTTAGGGTTTAGGGTTTAGGGTTTAGGGTTTAGGGTTTAGGGTTTAGGGTTTAGGGTTTAGGGTTTAGGGTTTAGGGTTTAGGGTTTAGGGTTTAGGGTTTAGGGTTTCGGTTTAGGGCTTAGGGTTTAGGCTTTAAGGTTTGGGGCTACTTGGAGGTTCATGGGCAGTAGGGTGGAATGTGCGAATTACGTACCTGACATCCACCTATATTATATCTTTCAAGGGATTATATAGGGTACCCCTGTAAGTACCCTAAATAGCAATTCTATAGGAATAAGGGCATTCTTCTGTTCTGTGCGTGGGTGGGAGAGGGGGGAGGGGAGGGGGAAGGGCTGAACTCCGCCCGAAACCCTAAACCCTGAACTGTTAAGGCTTAAGGCGTTTTGGGGACTTTGTGCGTTTAGGGCGGGCGCGCAAACTTGGATTTGGTGTCTGGGGTATACCGTTTAACCCTAAACCCTAAACCCTAAACCCTAAACCCTAAACCCTAAACCCTGCACCCAAAAAGCCGAAGCCCTCCACCCTCCACCCTGAACCCTGAACCCTGAACCCTAAACCCTAAACCCTAAACCCTATACCCTACTGAATTCGGGGTGCACTGGGCTCTTTGGGAGACTCCCAGAGGGCCTTGGCCAGGCGGCGGTAGGCCGCTTTGATCTCCTCAGGGCTGGCACCTCTCCGCGCTTGGTTTAGCGTTTAGGGTTTAGGGTTTAGGGTTTTGGGTTTTGGGTTTAGGGTTTAGGGTTTAGGGTTTAGGGTTTAGGGTTTAGGGTTTAGGGTTTAGGGTTTAGGGTCTAGGTTTACATCGGTTCAATGGCCCCGGCTTTCAGCGCTTTCAGGGCTTTGGGGGGTTTAGGCCTGAGGATATGGGGTTTTAGGGTCTTGGAGGATTGGGGTTTCAGGGTTAGGGCTTTCGGGTTTAGAGTTTAGGGGGACAGCATTTGTCGGCCTAAACCTTAAGCGTTCGGGCTACCCCCGAAACCATACTCCTACCCCCAACATAGCAACAGAAAGTTCGAGGTCTCCCAAGAAGACCCCGAAACCTGGACGGGTCCATACAGCAACCAATCTGGGGGGTTCACGATCATAGGGGTACCTTATTGGGGTCCTTCTTATCTGGGAGATCCTACTATTTGGGGGGTCAAACTTGGGGGTCCCCTATTTTCGTAAACCCCCATCTTGGGACCACCCAGGTACTTAAGGAGGAGTGGGGTAGGAATAATCCATATAGTCGGCCCCCAGAAACCTCAGGAGAAAGAGAAAGTGACCATTTTTTGTGTGTAATCAGATATCTAAGCGGGTTGTAGGACCTCTCATGCCCTCCCTTAGGCAACAGTAATCACCCGTGAAAAAATCCTGAGCCTTTTTGCAGCCCGAGGGTGGTGTACAGATCTTCGACGTCCGCCTTCCTCGGGCACGAGTGCCGAGGAATTCAGATTCAGTTGAGCACATGTACACACAAAAACACACACACACACACTCTCTCATGCATGTGCGTATGCACATTGTGCAAAATTAGGGTACTTTTCGGTACGCATGCTAACAGCCCTAAACCCTAAACCCTGAACCCTAAACCCTAAACCCTAAACCCAGGTTTGTAGCTGCCATGTTTTTTCTCCGCGCGACGCTCCATCGCCACTCTGCCCCGCGTAGAACCGGCAGCCTCGGAACTCGAAACGCTCCGCAATCGCGGACTTGTAGCAGGGTTTAGGGTTTAGGGTTTAGGGTTTAGGGTTTAGGGCTCAGGGCTCAGGGCCAAACGCGCGAGTGGTCAAACAAGCCCCTGCGCCCTAAGCCCTGACATGTCCCCGAAACCTAAACTCCCAACACCGACACTGAAATCCAAGCCCGGATGCAAAACCCAAAGCGACTAACCCTAAACCTGAACCCTAGACCCTGAACCCCGAGCTCAGACAGCTTCAAGGAGCCTTGACGGGAAGATGCGCGGGCCCATCCACCAGAAACCTTGGCCGCAGCAGCCCCTGATGTGCAAGGCTTAGGCTTCTTAGACATTGTTGTGGGTTTGCTCTAAACCCTAAACCCTAAACCCTAAACCCTAAACCCTAAACCCTAAACCCTAAACCCTAAACCCTAAACCCTAAACCCTAAACCCTAAACCGCAAACCCTGCACCCCAAACCCTAAACCCGAAGCCCTTTTTGAGAGAAAGCTTCGTTTGTGAGCATATGCCTGCATGATGGCTAAAACCTGCGCCAAACTCCTACTTCTGAGGGAGGCACCAAGCCACGCCTACTTTTGAGGGCAGCGCCAAAACTAGACAGAAAACTTTGCTTTTGTTCTTTTGGGCCTTTTGGGGCCATGGGGCCTCTGGGGAAACCCTAAACCCTAAACCCGAAACCCTGAACCCTGAACCCTGAACCCTGAGCCCTGCTCCGACCCCTCCACTGCGTGGCGGGCGGCGATAGAGGGCCGAGCCGTCGGCAGGGTCCGCATCACCGGGCCCAAAGGCCGCATTGGCATGGCAGAATCTCAATGCTAAGCGCTTAAACGCTGGTTGTCTTTCCCTTAAACACAAAAAAAGAACTCCAAAAAACCCTCTGAGGGTTTTTTAGAAGTTGTCGTTCCCTAAACACCCAAACAATACTCCACAAATCCTGAGGGTTGTCAGAAGTGGTTAAGTTTTTGGGGAAGCTGCCAGGGTCTTGGGCATTTTGGGGCCTTGGTCTTGGGGGCTACGGGTGTAGGTACATGCCCTAAACCCTAAACCCCAAACCCTAAACCCTAAACCCTAAAGGTTGGACGGACATCTAAGAGTCGGCATAGGCGGGCGCTTGAGCTCCCTGAGGAGGACAGCTTGCGTGCAGCAACTCGCCACAAGGCCCCGGATCAAAACATCAGGGTTTAGGATTTAGGGATTTAGGGATTTAGGGATTTAGGGATTTAGGGATTTAGGGATTTAGGGATTTCGGGATTTCGGGATTTCGGGATTTCGGGATTTCGGGATTTCGGGATTTCGGGATTTCGGGATTTCGGGATAGCGGGGTAGCGGGGTAGAGGATAGAGGGATAGAGGGATAGAGGGATAGAGGGATAGAGGGATAAAGGGATAGAGGGATAGAGGGATAGAGGGATAAAGGGATAGAGGGATAGAGGGATTTAGGGATTTAGGGATTTAGGGATTTCGGGATAGAGGGATAGAGGGATAGAGGGATAGAGGGATAGAGGGATAGAGGGATAGAGGGATAGAGGGATAGAGGGATAGAGGGATAGACGGATAGAGGGATTTCGGGACTTCGGGATTTAGGGATTTAGGTGTTTCGGGATTTCGGGATTTAGGGATTTAGGGATTGGGGTCTAGGGTTTAGGGTTTAGGGTGCCGTTTTGAGGGCTCCATTTTCAGGCTACCACCGGATGTAGAAGGATTAGATGAGGGCGTGCAGTAAACTAACCGACAAATCCCGAGCTTAACCCTGCCTTGCGACAATAGGAGGTTCAGGGTTTTCTGGGTCTCCGCCCAGAAGCGTTGGGTTTAGGGTTCAGGTTTTTTTTTTTTACGGCTGCCATGCGCATCCCAGACTCTTTCCGTGCTTCTGAAAAATATTTGGCTGGCGCGTAGGCGCAGCTGCCAGATGCAGGGCGTACTCGGGGTGTTTAGAAAGATACTGCTTTAGGCCTAAGAGGTCTGAGCGGTGTACCTGGGAGCTTACGGTAAGAAAGTCTTTGAAAGCTGTTAATGCGGCCTCTTCCACTACCTCTAACCAATATCTTTGGGGGTGGCCCCTCTTGGTTCCTTTGGTAAACTTAACCCTATCCTTTATTCCGGGTGAGAAAACTACATGGTGAATGGGGTTCGTTGGCGGTGTACTCAGTATTTTAGCCAGCTGTTGTAGCTGTTGTGAGAGGAGCTGCTGCGATGGAACTACTGGCTTATGGGCTCTTTCCCAGACCGTTCTGTTGGAGATATGTGAGTAATATGATGCCTTAATACCTATGCATCGTCTTAAATGCTGGTGGTACCATGCGTCTATGGTTTTCAGGTGTCTCATTTCGAGAGTCAGCGAGTCCAATCCGTATGTGAGTGTGGATACAACTACCGCATGGTAGATGTGGAGTTTGATCTTGTCATTTACTCTACTTCTCCATAAGGGCTGCAATTTCATGTAAGCTGCTTTAGCCTTTATTTTGCGTGCCTGTATTGCCGTGTTGGCAACTGAACTCCACGAGATTTGTGACCCTAGGTATTTAGTTTGCGGTGTACTCGGGACTTCTGTTCCATCTATAAACGAGATAGTCGCTGGAGATTCAGGTCGGATTAGAAGTTCTGTTTTTTCGGGGTTGAGAATCATACCGTACAGCGAGGCCTCTACTTGAACTGTACGTAATAGCTCTTCTAATTGTGGCGGTGTAACTGCCAATAAAAGTGTGTCGTCAGCGTATTCCAAATCGTAGACTGGTTTGCCGATTGACCAGGAGTTCGTGGGGACACCTTGGCGTAGTAGTCTGGAATCTATGTCGTGGAAGAGTACCGTCATAACCATGATGAAGAGGTAGGGGCTAAGGGGGCAACCTTGCCGTATTCCCGTGTGCGGTGTAGCCGTAGTAGTGTCACCATGCATCCCTTTAACCGTGAAGGTGGGATCCGTGTAGATGTCAGTAATAACTTCGACGTAGTGGCGGTGTACTCCGAGCCTTTCGAGCGCTATGGCCATGGCGGTGTGGTCAACTTTATCGAACGCCATTTTCCAGTCTAGAAACAGTAATTGCAGGGAGTAGCCAAGTCCTGTGCCCTGCGTAATATAAAGAGGGGGTCCCGTGTCGACCTGTCCCGCCGAAACCCGTATTGCGTTGTACGTAAATGATGGTCGTGGGCGCGCGCTAGTCTGCGTTGTAAGAGGGCGGCGTAAACCTTGTAGAAGACGTTTAATAGGGAGATAGGGCGGTAGTTAGCAGGATCGGAATCTGCTCCCTTTCCCTTGTAAATAGAGACTATCATGGCCTCTTTCCACGATGATGGAACTGAGCGTCGTTCGAACGATTCGTTAAGAATTTGTAGTAGGCGTAGTTTACCGAAGTGGTCCAGCAACATAACCAATTCTGTTCGCACATTATCCGGGCCGGGGGCTTTTCCTTTTTTGAGCTGAAATAGAATGTCTTCAAGTTCCTCTAGCGTAAATTTGGAAGGCGGTGTACTCGGTGGAGAAT